AACAAAAAATCAGTTTCTCATGCAAGTATCGGCCGATTTCACAAAATTAAGGAAATCGGGGCCGATAAATCGGTGCACCCCTAGTGGGAAATGTAGTTTAAAGACCTTAATAGTACGACTCGTTTCCGCCGATTCCGTTCTACATGGTCTCAGTAGTTTTCCATAAAACGTACCACTAACGGTTAAAAAGGTGAAAGACGCAGCCACCGTCTAGAAACGTCGAGGCGACCTTCCGTCCCTTTAAATAAAACAAAAAAATGCTGTGGTTGGGAGGTTTTAGGAAGTGGAGACGCTCTCACGATCCACGTCTTTTTCTGACCAATCGGTGCCCTGCAGTCTGCTGACATCAAACCTTTGGCTTTTCAGCATGGCTACGCCCGGACCTTTGAGCAACGCCGCGATAAGCTAAAGAAATTCACGTTCGATTTTAGGACGATGACATCACAGTTCCAGCTGTGACCCGGCATAGAAACTAGGGGTGCGAATCTCCCGAGTTTTACGATTAGATTTTTAGTGTCACGATTCGGTTCAGAAACGATTTTTCTACTGAAACTCATAAATTTTGTTTAAATCGGAACTGACGAGATGAAAAGATTAAACAACCATGTAAACAAATGGAACATTTATTTAAAACAGTAATTTTAGGTTCCTCACTGTGTCCAATCTTTTTGCATCGTTTCATATTTATATCAAAAATAGGATCAAATGTTGGCGTTTATAAAATTCTGTAACTTAAATTACCAGTAATAAGTTAGTTTTTTATAAAATAAAATTAATATAGGAACAAATAATTTATCCACCATCTTTACCCGCTTCTTCTTTTTCGGGTTCCGGGGGTCACTGGTGTCCATGTCCAGCAGTCACTGGACTCGCAGTCACTGTGCGAGTGGCAGGGGACACCCTGGACAGGCCTGTAGTCCATCACAAGGACACCCTGGACAGGTCTCTAGTCCATCACAAGGACACCCTGGACAGGTCTCTAGTCCATCACAAGGACACCCTGGACAGGTCTCTAGTCCATCACAAGGACACCCTGGACAGGCCTCTAGTCCATCACAAGGACACCCTGGACAGGTCTCTAGTCCATCACA